TATATATATATATATATATAGGAATTGCAATGATTTAGCTTTGATTGCAATCTTCTTCTTTGTTGCATTATCTTCTAATCTACAACCCCACGAGCATTGTTAATAAAACAACACTGACCTTGCAATGTCAGATTTATATAAGAAGCCAAGTTTTCTATGGCCTAGAGAAAAAGCCATTATTAACATAATTGTACTATTTTCTTTTCTCCTGTCCCAAAGGTGCTATTGATGCTCAAACTTTAGATGTACAATATAATTAGACAAACTTCCAATTTATTTCTCCATATATGCAGTGTTAATGTGTACCATACCTACCTGAAAGGAAGAAGAACCTGAATTTCAGATGATCCAGACAATCCCACACAAAGAAAGAAAAAAACAGGAAGTGCCGTACAATTCCCAGCTTCTCTACCTTGTCAGCCTATGCCTAATACATATGTGCATCTGACACTTTTATATACGTGTGTCAAAATCTACAGTTTAGAAAGGTCAAGATCAGGCAAAAAATAAATTTATATTAACAGAATAACCTCATATAGAAAATTGTTTCCACATTTCACATTCTCATACTTAACACACATGTTCCTCTCTCTCTTTCCAGCAAAAAGAGCTGAAATAACAAACTCACTCCAAACCCAGAATGAATATAAGACTGAAGGAAAAGAATAATTGCACCGGGAAAGGAACAGAATTGATTTTGGTGATGGGGGGGGGCGGGAGAACAAAACCGGATGGAGAAAAGGCAAGAGTTAACTGGACAGGGAGAAAAAGGAGAGTCAAACCCTGCTTAGGTATTATAAAAAGAGTTAAATTCCCCAGGCAAACAGCTTCTCTGAAAGGAGGGGGAGGGGGAGGAATCTAGAGACTAATTTGGCCTGAAGCCATTTATATTTCCACGCATTCTCGTTTCCAACAGCTTTTATTCTTCTCAGCAAATTTAAAACCACTCCTAACTCCAATTCACAGGTAATTGGGGAGGGGGAAATACTAATTCCTATCTATATGTTGTGCACCAAATCAATGTGCATTAATGAATAGATTTTGAAGAGAAGTTTAGTGCATAAATGCTCTATTTTCCTGAAAAGGAGAGACTATTTTTTCAGTCAAGTGGGGTAAAAAAATCAAGCTAGAATTAAGTAAAATTCTATTTTCATACAACTTTTCTTACATAAATTATATCCTACTACAAAATTATACGAGCAATAGACTAGATATGCAGAGATTTTTTTAATACAAGTAGTTTTTAGAAATGCTGATAACACATAGAAATAATGTGAGCAAATGTGTATGGGGGTAGGGAGTCTTCCTGAGCTGTAAACATCATAGTCCTATACAATCTGGAATGTACTTCTTGTACATTTCTTTGCACAAATATTTACATTTATGTTATTTCACAGGATTTGCTGCTATAAAAAGTCTCAAGTCATGGGCAGCAGGAGCAGAGAACAATTCTATTGTCTTCTTTCAAGCTCAAATTAGCACTGTTGTTACCTGATTCATGAATACTTGAAACTTGATCTAAATGTTTTGGGATCAGTAGAGAAATCCCATCTGATTCTTCCTAATCTATCCTAGACCGTAGTCTCCTTCTTGATAAATCGGGATAATGTGAGATGGATGGTCCCACTACCAGATGGATTTTCAGTTAGCCAAACAACTGTAGCCAACATGTAGTCCTTAATGGGTCTATGTTCCCATGGAGGGAGGTATGCAGTAGGGTACCTCAGGGCTGTGTTCTGGGCCCTGTACTCTTCAACATCTTCATGATTTAGATGAGGGAATAGAAGGGATACTCATAAAATTTGTCAGTGAAACAAAGTTGGGAGAGATTGCTAACACTGCAGAAGACAGGGTAAAGATTCAAAAGGATCTTGATAACCTTGAACATTGAGCCCTATCCAATAAAATGTTGTTCAGTGATGAGAAATATAAGGTTCTGCACCTAGACAGGAAAAATCAGATGCATAGTTACAAGATAGATGGTAAGAAGGATCTGGGTATCTTGATAGACTACAGATTAAGCATGACCCAGCAATGTGACACAGTTGCCAAAAGAGCCACTGCATCTTTGGGCTGCATCAACAGGTATATAGCATCAAGGTCATGGGAAGTAATAGTACTGCTGTACGCTGCAGTGGTCAGATCACACCTGGAATACTGTGTAGTTCTTGTTGCCACAATACAAAAAGAATGCTGAGGAACTGGAAAGAATGCAGAGAAGAGCAACAAAGGTGGTAAGGGGCTTAGAGGCTAAATCTTATGAAGAGCAGTTAAAAGAACATGGTATATTTAACCTAAAGAAGAGAGGGCTAAGGGGAGACATTACAGTCTTCGAATACATGAAAAGATGTCCCAAGGCAGAGCATGTGGATTTATTTTCCATAGAACCCAAGGGCAGGCAAAAAAACAATGAGTTGACACTTTACAGAGAGAGATCCAAACTTGAAATAAGGAGGTATTTCCTGACTTTAATTGCTATTAAGCAGGGGAACAGCCTGCCTTTTCTTAAAAACATCACTGGAAGTTTGTAAGAAAAGATTGAACAGCCATTTGTCCAGGATGGTATGAGGATTCCTGCACTGGGCAGGGGGATGGATTTGAAGACCAACTCCAAGGTCCCTTCCAACCCATGATTCTATTATTCTATTTAAAAGAAAAACAATGGAATCATTATTGCTGTTTGCATCCAAAACGAAGAACCTATATTTATATATATAGGAGATACTGAATCACAAGCTCCATTCTGCAGATTGCTTTTCGTTGAACGATTAAACTATAAATATACAGTAGTCACTTGATATAAACAAAAGCAAAACAGAAATAAACATATTCTTTGTCTGAAATCTACTTTACTGACATCACAGGATAGCTTGGTGTAACTAGTTGCACTCAGGATGCTTAGAAACAAAGAGGAGAATAGCTTCTACTCTGATAAATGCCTTATTGCTCCTAGGAAATAATTATTTTTCTGTTAGAAATACTATGTAACATGATTTGGGAAAATGTAAAAATTGTTAAAAACTTCATCACACTTTGAGTATGTCCCAGCTTGATATTGTTCAAAGAATAATTAAACTGTTCTATGCTTTTGAAGTTAGTCATAAACATGAGTGTAAAATATATCAATACTGCCTGACTTTAGAAAGACAGTACTACAATTAGTATAACAAAATGCTTGAAAAGAAATATATACTGACTGTAATGAAAAGTTTAAGTTACAGTTGAAACAGGAACTCCTACTTGATATAAAAATATTCCACAGAGCTGAATTCTTTATTAACGTGATGTCAGTTTTCTTCCCAATAGCACGTTCCATGAAACCAGGTATTATGTGGAAGAATAATCTTCTCCAGGAAATAAATTATCTTGCTAACCTATGAAGTCCAAATATTACCTACAACTAATGTCTGTTTTTTCCCAAGTGCAGATACATGGTTTTCCCACATAGCCATTAGTTGATTAAGAATAACTTAACAGTTTGTTAAAAGCAGTGTTGCCTATGACTGTACATAATTAAGGCAAAAAAATGAAAAACAAGAAACTACAATAACATGTGGTCTTTATGATAAATTAACATGCAGTTGTAGAATTAATAGTCAAATGCCAGCTTCCGTGGAGTCATGAATTCCTTCACCATTTCATCAGTGATCTGCTTTCGCCTTTGCTGGTGAGCTGCAATCAAGGGCTGAAGAGTTTCAATCAACGTTTTCTTGAGTTCTCCTGTCAGCAGTGCTCCACTTGTGTAAGCCTGCCAAAGAATGTCACAGTCAAAGGGAATGTTCATATCCAGTAACATCTCCTGAAATCTCCTGGAAGGTACTGTGCGGGCATAGAAAGCACTCTGCCTTTCTTGAATAGAAATATCATTCCCTCTGAATGTCTTACACAGCATCATAGAAAGGGATACTTTAGGCACAGGGTAGTGGGTTAGAGTTATGATTTGATGATTCAGGAGTACTTTTAACTCTTTGAATACTTAGCCAGTACAGTGTAGTAGTTAAGGTGTTGGATTAGGACTGGGGAGAACCAGGATTAATTCAACTCTCAGACATGGAAGCTTACTGAATGACTTTGGGCCAATCATTTTCACAACCACAGTGCTGCTGTGGGATAAATTGGATAAGGGAGTGCTACATACACAGCCTTGAACTCCTTGGGGACAAGGCATGATTTAAATCTAACAAAAAAATAGCTACCTTTTATTTTAAATAATTATGTTGTATTCAGAGGAAACAATATAACATTTATAGATGAAAAGTAGGTTCTGATGCTTTAAGGAAACGCTTTAAGAAAAATCTACAGTTTGCCTCAGGGACCTGAGTCTTTGTGGTACATCCTTCTAACATGGAAATCATTACAGGATACTGAGAAGTTGCAGCTCATGCTCATTATAGCCAAATACAGGACCCCAAATCCTTTTAGTTGCCTGCACACATGGGACCAAAGAGTAACAGAATTGTGCTGTAATTGGCCACTGTCTTGCAGTTGGGCTCGGAGTAGTCTCAGCACTGGCTCTTGCTAACAAAGCTTAAAATCTTCTGGTAAAAACTGAAAGTCTTCTATCTCAGCATGTTTCAATAAGTCTTAAAAGATTTGGTGTCAGTTCTCCCAGCCAAGATATTGTAACAGTGTAAAGAAATTCCAGAAAGATCGAAATATACAGTAATAATAAAATAATAGGAGCAGGCAGGACTTTGGCTAGGACTAGAAGACAAGATACTGCAGGTAGTATGCCTTAAGAGAGTAGAGTGTGGGCATGGAAGATATCTTGAGGCTAAAGGGGCAGTTTCTTAGCTAGGAGAAGTGGGGATCAGTATGTTTAGAAATGAAATAATAGCAGAGCCAGACTAAGTTAGAGAGACCGAGGGGAAAGCTCAAAGATAATTATCCTACTACCGGAGTTTGTACATCTTTTAGTCTTTTTTCACTCAATAGAGCATATTTAGCACTCAGTAAGGTACATTCCAGAGCCAGTTTGGTGTAGTGGTTAAGTCATCAGGCTACAAACCAGGAGACTGTGAGTTCTAGTCCTGCCTTAGGCATGAAGCCAGCTGGATGACCTTGGGCCAGTCACTCTCTCTCAGCCCTAGGCAGGAGGCAATCACAAACCACTCCTGAAATCTTGCCAAGAAAACTGCAGGGACTTGTCCAGGCAGTCACCAGGAGTCAAAAACTAACTCGAGGCACCAAAAACAACAACAAAAAGAGTACATTGCACTCAATAAGGTATATGTCAAACTTTTATGGAGGTAATGGCAATTATTAATAATTCATCTCTTGTTGACCAAGCCAAAGGCTCCTGCCCTATATAAAATGATTCTGTATGGAGAACTAAAAGTATTTCTCAGAGAAAGAGAGAAAAAAGTACACACACACAAACCTGAAATTCATCATTTCAAGATGAAAGTTTCTGTCTATGGCCCCACCTACCCATCAGGTCTTTCGAGGCCATTGACAGCTATTGTTTCCCAGTAGACTCAAGACAGAGTCACAGAAGAAACAACATGGGAAGAGGAAATAAAATGGTTAAGGGGAAATTGAAACATGATTGTCTCTGAATGTTTTATCAGGGTGAACAAACAAGGTGGCCATTACCTGCTTAATTTGTTCTAATCTGTCATCATCTTCAAGGAAGAAAGTGAGGTACATGTAAGACACATCTACATCACAGTTGCCACCATACTGCCTGTGCTCTTCAACCGTGTCTTTGCCACCAGAGAAAGCATGCTTATTAATCTGGAGCAAGATATAAGAATATGCACATGTATCAGAAGCGGGGGGAAAGCTTTTCTATAAATTAAACTTTATATATAATAAACAGTCTCTATAGCTTTTTTCAATGTTAATCAAAAGTTTACAATCTGAACTAGTAAATATTGACTGACTACTTTGAATACTCAGTAAGAAAGCAACTTCAATGCATATTAAAAAAAATAAAGAAATTGAGTAATTACAAACGGTGGAAGAATACTGCTTTTAACTACGCTGTGCTGGATTCAAGTTGGCATGCTAATTTTTTTTTTCTTCTTCAGAAGCTTTTGTTTTAACTTTGCTATTCTGGGAATAAGTGCATGGGTAATATGCCAGTATGTATGTATGTATGTACAGGTAATAAAAAACATATTATAGATATTGCAGTTTTATATAAGCTTCACACAACGTATTATATTCTGATATTGCAAAGTAAAGGAGGCCATATCAAATAAAAAACAAATACAGCTTATAAATCAAAGTTGAGTCACATTTTCATCCACCTCCAATATTTTTGTGAGACAAGTATTATGGATTTTCCTTTGCATCATTATGTTAATGATAAGATGCAAATATCCATAGAAGGATGGCACTGAGCGATCTTCGTCAAACTGAAGATTTAACAGCTTATTTTGAAACCCTCCACCGAATATTCTTATAAGTGAGGAAAAATATATTCAAGTATGGCATCAGAAACATGTGAAGAAACCTGAAAGTATTTCACTACATATCTAAGAATCATGTTTTGTCCTGTTAAACCTGTTCTGAGATTCATTTTTGTCCAAATATTACCCTGCTGTTAACTTTGCAAAATGTCATGTGCGATCTCCTCCAGGATATGGCAACTCCATGTTACAACAGATATGCAAAACATGGTTCATGAGGAAAGTCAAAGCTCTTGAAAGCCAAGCAGACTGGGATCACACCCCTTGACAGTGTGCCTAGCAACTGTCATTATGTCGCAAGTGAGTTCAGGTGCCATGTAGAGATAGCCGGTTGCAGGATCCTTAGTACCTTAAATACTGCTGTTAGTTTAGCACGTAGTACAAAGACCACATGATTAGTATTTAAAGTTCAGTCTGCTTAAGAATATAGTTTTGGATATTTACTACAATATTGTTTGGGGAAAAATTGTGCAAAAAAGTGGAGCTGAAATTAATCATCTGTGAAGACAAAGCAGCACGCTAGAACTCAACAGCAATACAACCTGTATATTCTGCTCTCTTACCTTTGTTTTTATTTGCTTGGGTGTGTCAGTGAGAAAGATTGAGGAGTTAGGATCGCTAGCACTCATTTTTGTTTGTGCTCCTTGCAAGGCTGGGAAGAAGACAGAATGCAGTAATGCTGGCTTGGGATAGCCAATCCGAGGGGCTACGTCTCTTGTCATTCTGAAATAGGGATCCTAAAAACAGAACAAAAAGCACCATGACAGGAACCTGCTATATGAAAGTGAACACAGATAACTCCTTCTTCTAAAAGCTAGTTATATACCATTCTTTATTGTTTAGAAGGGGCCTCAGGAGTGTAGGTGGGGAGAGGAAGAGCACTACAGATAGTACAAAGTGTTGGGAAACTTTATTCCTTCAATTTCCTTAAGTTAATTTGTCTAAAAAAGACAGAAGTTTGGATCAAAGGTAAGCTGCAATTAGAGATCTGCAAAATATATCTAGCTCTAATATTTATACTCTCCTTTTGTGATGGATTTGATGGAAGCTGCTTAAAACATCTCAGACAATTTTCTCACCTGATCAATTGCACATGGGATCAAGCACTGGATATCCTTCCTATTGTTGAAGATCTGTGGAAATGATGAGCTAAAGGATGGAGCTGCTTGAACAGCAGGAAAACTGATTTTTCCTAGGAGAGCACAAAAAACTCATTTGTTGCACACACAGTACTTAAGCATAATAGAATGGTTAAATACAGAAATTAAATTTCAATGTATATAGTAATAAATGCTAGTTATGAGAGCCTAAAGTTAAATAACTTATTACATATAAAGAGCATATATAAATATATTTCAGTATTAAACATTTAACAGGCAGCATGTAAGTAAATAAATATTTAAAAATCTTACATAGTAATTTGAAACATCACAATTGGTGCTTTTGTATAAATGGCTGTCACTTTGATACTGATTTTTACCCAATGTTGTGATCTTGGAACCATTTCAATAATTAAAGTGTTCTTTTCCTTTTCCCTACACTATATTTTTAAGTGTCTAAATATTACCTAAGCAGGAATGACAATCCTCCAGGGTGCAGGAGGGAAAAACTTGGGATCCTCAAGCTAACAGCAACCCTCACCATTAATAATGGTGTCTGAAGATGCTGGGAGTTGTAGTTCAGCCACATCTACAGGGCCACAAATTCTCCATCTGTGTGGTAGATCACAACTACAACAAATGTATATCTATAAAACTACTATGCCTATAAAACAGAGGTGCCTCCAGTGAATTGACTTATGGCATTTTTATTCCACATCCGCCCCTCCCCCACCCCAAATAAGCTGAGGATGATTTCTGCATTGATTTTAACTTCAGAACAACACTGTGGGATATATTATAAGGATTAATCAGCAAACTTTGTTGTCTGTGGAATTCTTCATGATTAAGTGAGATCTGAACCTGGTGTCCCTGGCCTTAGTCCAATCTTCAAGCATTATATTCCACTGTTTTTTTAAATCAGAACTTCAAGTAGGTTTCTGTTTCCAATATCTTGTATTAATGAGTTAGTAGAATCCTATCAGAACTCACCTATGCAGTCACTATCTGTAAAACCGAAGATTCCTTTCACTTGGTTGAATGTCACATGCTTTTGAACTTTAACAATATTTTCATAGAAGCCTAGACTTCTCCTGGAAAAAGAGCAGAGAAATCAAAATCGCAAATCATAACACAGAGAAGAATGTGTTCTTGAGAATGCTCACAAGTCAATAGTGCAATCCGGTATGAGGAAACATGGATGTTTAATACATTGTATTCAGAGTTAAAAATAAAAGTGATTCCTGTTTAAATAAAATTCTTAAAGCAGTATTTGAATTGCATTATTCATAAAGCATTTCCAGTTTATTTTATAATAGGTATCACTTTAGTATAAAGGTACTTATAAGCTTATACAGACCTATTATCTTCTCATATTTAAGTCTTTTTAAGCCACAAAGTACTGTCACACTTTTTCATGCTATTTTTTCATGGGATAAAGAAACATCAGTTGGTTTTAATTTTCACCCCCCAAAGCTACTGATGATTACAAGACAGTAGCAGAACTGATTCTGCTGTGTTCATATACCAGGCCAGTGGAGCCTGGAAAAGTATACCAGATTTCCAGAAGATTACCAGAAGAATTCCCTTTATGATGGCTTTTATCTCAAAAAGTTTTTTTTAGTAGTGTTCTTTGTACAACTGACACATTACCATATTATGTATTCGATTCCCTGAAACAATATTGGTTAAAGGAATGCCAGTGAACTGTGCTAAGATTGCTAGGTAGTTTAAGCTTACCCTAAAATGAAGGCTTTTGTACATTCAGTATTAAAGAATGAGAATCTTACCCCATATAAGAGAAATCAGAAAAGATGAAAGTTTTATTTATGTCAAATCCACAGGCTATTATGTCCTTGATGTTTTCTATAGCATATTGGTAGGCTTTCTCAATGGTCAGATCTTTCCACAGATATTTCTCATCATCAGTCAATTGTATGACTAATGGAACATTAAATACTTCTTGTAACCACCTAGTAAAAAACAAAACAAATTTACTTAAAGTGTTTCAAGGTAACTTCTAGTTAAATTATGTGACATGCAAATGCAGGTTAATGCAGGTTAAAAATAAACTTATTCACAATCACTTGGGTAGCGTTTGGATAAGCATTTTCTCAGTCGGCAACATTTCTTTGTGTATACTTGATGGTATGCTGGTACTTAGCCTGTTGATAGGCTAATATAATGTGGTAAGGCATATATACCTATTTTGGAAGAAAAATACATGTATTTGATAAATTGCGAACGCAGGTCCTTCATCTTTGAACTAATATCTATAACAAGCCATGACGACATCAAAATGATACGTATATCATTGTGTCACTGTGTAAATGACATGATTACATAGTTACGTTATCTGAAGCAAATACAGCAGTCATGTTATTTATGTGATGATGTCATGACAAACAGGCCATTTTCCTGCCCAGTCCTTGGGGATGTCCATGTTTCCTTGGAGTGATAGTACCCTCTTCCTGCACAGTAGTAGCTTGCATCTTAAAACACAAAGCAATGCAGTGATGCCAATTAATTTATCTCTATGAATACTACTGCACATTACTGACAAAATATTTTTCTTCAATATAGTCTCATCATATCAATACATTGTACCTTGGTGTCTAATAACATTTGATTTTATTGTGTTTAGTTGTGCATTCTATTTTCCTACAACAGCAATTATTTTGGACAACCCATGCAATTACAGTACTTGTGTTTGATATTCAGATTTTGGGAATCACCTCCCTCTTTTCTTCCTGCAGCATTAGAGATATGTATCTGGATACTAGATTCCATACTTGTGTGATGCTATGATGACATCTGTTAATAAATACTTTGCCCTGCCTGTGTGAAATAAATACTAAGGCTGAACAAACTCAAATAATAACTGTTCCTCTTAGCTCCAGACATTAAATGAATCATGTGGATTTCCAAAGGGCACTTGGGGTGATTCCCAAAACTTTGATGGGCAGCTGAGTGCCTGCTTGATCTCTGGAATAAAGTTTCAGTGGCAGCACCTGACAGGAGTGCTCTTGAGCAGCCTCTGTGGGAGCTCTTTTGTTTACTGAGGACCTCTGGGAAATGAAGCAACAGAAAAGATATTTACAGCAGTGCTAGGGTAAAATGAAGAACCTGTTAAGAGCTCAACCTCAAGCCTACACTATGATGATAAGAGTGGCAAAGTGAGCCTAACTCTCTACTCTTGCTACAAACATGGATACCTGCCTAGCAGCATTGTTTAAAGCAGGCTTTTTCAACCCTTTTACCCTGAAGAAACCTTTGAAATAATTTTCAAGTCTCAGGGAACTCCTACATAAAAATGGGAAAAAATACAAAAACTTCACAATACAATTCCCTTCTAACACTCACAATCCATATTTTATAAAGTTTACAACAGCAGCAAAGTGGCAGATTGGCAGCTGACTTGTGATGTGTAAAAATTCCCACCACGGCGAGTGCTAGCAATGCATGGCACACAAAGATTTTTTTTTAAGTTTTTTTTCCCAATCAAATTATCTCGTAGAACCCTAGTATTCTGCAGAACTCTAGTTGAGAAAGGCTGGTTTAAAGTGACTTGGTCCCTATTAGGGAAAACCAAGCTGTCAGATCATCTGCTGGGCCATTACAATGAATTTATTCAGTATTTGGGGGAACAAAATATTGACATTCAGGTAGGCAAATCCTTGCTGAGACGACAAACGTTGTCTGGGATTGATTTAAACCTGTGGATCCTGTGCAAGTAGACAGGGCCCTCTGGGCTGTTAGCAATGCCATCTCTGAATTAAATCCCTGCTCTAGCAGATATGGAAGAAACAGGAGGCTGGGTGCAGGCAGTGCTAAATGCATACATTCTTGTCAAAAGATGAAATAGTACATCCCTTTCTCAAGAAACCATTGCTTGATCCAGCTATTCAGATAATTATTCACAGGACTCCCACGTTTCCTTTTAGGGAAAGTTATTGGGCTAAAGCTATGGAGAGATCTGAATGAAATGTATTATCTAGGCCTTTTCTAGTCAGGATTTAAATCTGGGCATGGGAACAAAGCCACATGGGTTACTTTGGTTGATGACATTTGGCAGGACCAGGATAGGGAAAATACAAGTCTTGGGAACCTTTGATACCATCAACCATGGTATCCTTCTGGATCAGGTATAAGGATGGGGATGGGAGGCATTGTTTTTCAATTATTGTTTTCCTTCCTCAGTGGCCAGTCCTAGTAGGTAATGGTGTGTTGAGCTCTCTGTTATGGAGTGCTGCAGGGGTTGGTTCTCACTGCACAATAGCTACAAAAGCTGCAGGATGAAGGATGATTTCAGCAGCATAAAATGAGATATCACCAATTAGTTGATGATTCTAAGATATGTATATACATCTTGGGCTGGGCTAGAGATGAGGTGGAGATCCTGTCCCAATCACTGCAGGGCTGTTGGGATATGGATAGGAGAAACAGGCTCAGACCAAGAGGGAGCAGCTATGGATCTGGAAATCAACTGAATCTAGAGATAGTCTATCTTTGACTCTGGATGGGGTAGACTCTGGATGTATTGAGTGAGGCTACAACTTGGGGATGCTCTTGGATTCATGGTTCCAGCTTGAACAGCAGGTGGAGGCTATGGCTATGGCCTTTTTACAATTGCACTTTGTGTGCCAGTTGTTGCTTTCCCTGGATCAAGAGGCTTTATTCATAGTCATCCATGCTTTGACACTTCATGTGTGGACTACAACAACACTCTGTACACGGCTTCCCTTGAATATCATCTGAAAGCTTCAGCTGGTTCAGTATGCAGCATTCCAGGAGAACTAAGGTTTACCTATGTAACACTACCACTATGGAAGCTATACTGTTTGTCGGTTATTTTTTGGGTGCAGTTCAAGATACCAGTTGACATCTTTAAAGCCCTACATAGCTCAGGGCCAGGGTATGTCTATAATTACTTTCTCTGAGTTGAGTTAACCTGCCCTGTAAAATATGGGACAGGAAGCTTACTGGGTGCCCCACCAGTGAGGGATTGCCATTTTCAGAGATTATAGGCCCTCTCTTTTGGAACAACCTATCCCAGGATATCTGGACCCAAGTGAGATCATTATTAAGTTTTTATAGAGTAGTAAAATACGCATTTTTAGAAAAGCATTTGGGGACAAGTAAAGAACATGCAAACCCAAATGGTAGCACATTGAGTTGGTTGAATTATAATTGTATTAACTGATTTTTGGATTAATGGATTTTGAATTCTACAATACTGATACCTCGTACGTTTCTCAGTACCTCTTGGAAATGGAGCACCATATAAACTGAAGCCAAAATTGGAAGCAAATACTTCTCATGAGCAGAAACATGTACGCATGTCTGTATGCATACATACGTATGTTTTCAGCTCATAAAAATATTTGCATCCAATTTTGGCTGATTTCCCCTTCCCACTAAAGTGCAGTTCAGGAGACTACATCAAAGTTCAAGAGGTTGTTTCCAGGAGAGATAGCAACACAAAAATTATACTTCTGTAAACTTTTATGTACATTGATCTCAACATCCATGCCCTAATTCCAGATCTCAGCTACTAGCATAATGCAAATATCTGCCATTGAGATTAACCACTTCTAAAACAAGGAAGCATTTAATAAAAAACAACTGATCAGAATTACTTACTTTGTAAAAATAAATGGGATAAGGTGGCCAACATGCATTGCCTCAGATGAGGGACCTCTGCCTGTGTAAAGGTAAAATGGCTTCTTATGTTCATATGCATCAAGAATTTGGTTCATATCTCTGGAGGAAAGTAAGGAAACATTGCATGCTTTTTAAGGAAAGGTCCAGTCAAATGAAGATGAGAACAGGTGTCAATAAATTTTAATGATTATTTTGTATTTAAAAGGAAGTGTTGTACTATAATTTATATCATGTAACAACATTCTACTTTTGAAATATAAGGGATGTAGGACTACCATTTCCATTCCATGCCCCAAGTTTTAGTTTTCTTTCATAGGGATGTTTGTAGAATGCAGTAGTACTCAATATATTAAAATGAATGAAAGAGACATCGAGAATGGGGATTTTGTTTGATTCAAATAAGCTAGTGATAAAGGATACTTACCTATGAGAAAAGAAAATGCCTCTCCGTAGAAAATGATGTGGTTTATGTCCCGTAATTCTCTCTATTCTATTGATGAGGTCTTTATCAATTTTGCTACTGCCAAATCGAACTGAAGACAACAGAAATAGAGACTAAATTATATACATGATGGTGAGTAAACTATTAATGAACAGTACATCATAGAACACCACTCCTCAGAAAATAAAAAAGGGAAAATGGTTGAAATGTTTTGAACAGGCAGCACCACATGTAAATTATGATAACACAAGCGATACTACACTTGATCTCAAATGAAAAGGTAAAAAAGTGATTCTTGCTTATTTGATTGGTCTCTTGAGATTTCCAGAAGGGTTATAAAGTTTGGTACAATTGCTGTGGCTGTTTTTTTTTAATATAGTCTTTTTGTGATATAATTTGTCATGGCTAAATAATCCAATATTTTGCTTTATAAAAGGTCAGTTAAGCTCTAAAGCAGCTGTATTATTGGGTTTCAGCCGTTAAATGGCAACAGAAAAAATGGGCTATTAAGTTAGTTGTACCCATTCCAGTGACACTGCCATGTCCCATGGCTTTTAGAATCTAAACAGACTCATAATTTTAAAAATGCAATCCCAATCTGAAAAAAAGTTCCCTATTCTGCTCTCTATAAAAGTAGAGAATTAAAAGTTGATAGGAAAGTTAATAAGGCTTCTTTGGGAATCTTGAATGTTAAAGAAACACACTAGTTGAATGAGATCAAGGGTCAGTGTAGTCTAGCATCTTCCTTTCCTGAATAACCATGACACTTTCATGAAGCTTGAAGATAGCACCCGATGTGGTAACCAGTGAAAGGCAATCTTTTCTGAAAAGTGCCATTTGAAAATACAGAACCAATTTTTAGAACTTCAAGATTGCGGCAAACATAGGGCAGAGACTGAAGAGCATTCTTAAAGAGTCTTTATAAGAGTGTTGTATTTCAAATAACTTTTTAAAGTTAATAGAACACCACACACCTATAAGTTTATCATAATCCACCCCTTTTGCATTGGATGTCTGCACTGTCCAGGGATCCACAAAATCATCTTCTTCAATGTTGTCTGGACTGTTACTGACTGGAGTGAAATTTGCTGGAGGAGAATCTGCTTTATATTCTTGACCTGTTACTGTTTTATATGTTAATTTTAATGACAGCAACAACTTAACTGCAGCATCAATTTCATCCTGGGAATAAAATAAGAAAAAAAGTACAGCATTCAATTAAATTAAGCTTAGACACACCGAGCCTAGCAGCTATATACATATATACATATTCAATGTTCTTGACATCTAGCGTGCATAGAAATTAATGATAGTGTGAACATGAAAATCATGTGAAACAGCTGATTCAAAAAAAAAAAAGGCAAAAGAAAACCCTCAAAACTACAACTACAGCCAAACTACCTGCTTGTGTAATGTTGAGCACGTCATTCAAGGCCTCTATTGCACTTTTTCCACTTGCAAAAGAGATACAAATATTTATCTATTTCATAGGGGCACAGTGGAACTGAAAAGAAAGGGTTATTAAAGGTATTCAGTTTAAGATTGTGGTGAGCTTTTTCCAGCTAGAACCAAATTGCTTCTCTTGCTTATCATATCTTTCTTCAAAACCCAATTATTTTTACAGAACACTTTTATTTATTTATTTAAATAATTTATATGGCTGCCCATCTGTGATGGACTGGAATAGTGGAGGCCAGAATCGGCCTAATAAACCTTGCTGGATTAAATCTGCATGGTCTCCTGGAGTTCCCTGGGCTAAACCTGACACCATCTCACAACAGTGGCTTGGGGTAGAGTACAAAGATTAAAAACCCAACAGATAAAAATAATAGACCATGAAGCCCAAGGTAAATGATTCATTCCAACCATAAAATCACATCAACAACAGAGCGTGCCTAACCTCTGGGCCTGAATACCTGAGGTAACAGGTCTTCAGTGACTTACAAAAGGCTAACAGGATTGGGGCCATCCAGATCTCTGGGGGGATGCTATTCCTCAAGGCAGGCTTTGGCACAGAGAAGGCATGACTCTTGGGTCCAATAAATTGACATTGTTTAATAGAGGTGACCTGGACCATACCCTCTCTGCTAGATCTGACGGGATGAGCAGACACAATGGGAGAAAGGCAGTCCCGCACTTAATTTAGGCTTAATTCTGTAGCAGGTGAACTGTATCTCTGAATATTGTTAACCTAGATTTTATCTTGGCTGTGCTGCACTGAGATATAGCAAAGCCAAATTACCAACAGCAGCTGTTGCAAGCACTCAAGAAGAAAACCTGATGGTGAGGCTCTGCTTACCCTATCTGTGGAGTCCTTGGTGCTCTCTGAGCTTGGTTGCTCAGACAGCACCAAGGACTCCACACTTCAACCCTGAGCTACCTATGTTCTCATCTATTGGAGCATCATATTTGACATGTTACAGTTGGAGCACAAGCTGCACAATCCTGAGCCTTGGCTTCCTTTAGGTAGAGTACGTGAAAGGTAGAGACAGTGGAAAAGGTAGAGTGAACAAAATACCTTCCTGCCTGCTAGTTAACAGAGAATTTTATTTCCCTCTCCAAATCCTGCCTCCTGATATCATCTAGCCTGGGGTCTCTACAGAACCCTAGGGTTCCACAAGGACTTGAATGGGTTTCCATGAGACTAAGGGAGAAAAAGAACTCTCTGTGAGGACTAAGGGAAGGTGGGGAGGGTTCTTCTCCCCCTTGTCCCTTGTAGAAAGGGTTTTTTCCCGCTTTTGTCTCTGGTGAAGAGTTTTTTCCCCTAAAAACTCTCTGCAAGAGACTAAGGGTAACCCTCCTTCACAAAATCCTTGAATGCACTCAATCCTCTGCTTCCACCACAGTGCTGCTCTTCAGGGGCAATTTTTCTAAGGTTACAGTGGAAAGAGCCGGGCTTGACAGCTGACATTCAGAAGCCCCACCCCTCTTGATCAGTGTTTCCAGGATTTTTTTTTAAATGCACAGATTCCATGGCCTGAAAAAATTTGAAACCCCTTGATACAGCCTATCAGGGAAGGTGGGGGACTAAATCAGGCTTTCCCCTACCGCTGAATTTTTTTTCCATTGTTTTTATTGAACTATGGTTACAAACATTATCAAGTACCTAAATTAAAATAATTCCAAGATGCATAGAGGAAAAAAATAGAAAATACGAAAAAAATCTACTAAAAAGTAAGTAAAAAGACAGGTACTGTACATGTACAAATTTACCACATATGTAAAGTATTACCACATTATGGTCTATTGCTATTGAGGTAAACCATAAAATCCATCCAAATTTGATCGAATTGTGGTTCCTGCCTCTGACATCTCATTATTTTAATTTTGATTTTTTGTAAAGTGGCAATTGAAGAGGCCTTGTTAATCCATATCTCAATTGTTACACTACCTAGGATTTTCCAATGTTGGGCAATTATTATTTTAGCTGCTAAAATTAAATAGATAATAAGTTCCTTATTTTTAAGCTTGAGGTTTTGTCCTGTAAATAAATGGAGTAAGCCTAATTCTGGAAAGCATTTGATTCTTTGTTTAGTAAAGGTACTTATCTCCCCAAAAATTTTATGCCAAAAGGGTATAGCTTTATTGCATGACCATCGCAAATGAAAGAATGGCCCCCCCTTTTTTTGACAACCTCTCCAATATTTGGAAGAATAATTTTGATATATATGTGCCAATCTGACTGGAGTCAAGTGCCAGCAATGTATAATCTTCCACTGCAGTTCTTGCATTGAAGCTGAGGTGAATCTATCCAGTGTCCATGATTTATGCCAATTTGTCTCCCGTATGGATTTACCAAGATCAGTATCCCAAGTTCCTTTAAACCACGGGGTAGATCTCCTATTTCTAATTGCAATAATAACCTATACATTTTTGAGACTGTTCCTTTTGGTTGTTCTAAGTAGTGTAAATATTAAATTCTCAAAATTGGTATAAGATTGTAGTTGCTGAAGCTGTAACATTTCTATTGCCCAAAAGAGATTTGAGTTGATACCAGAAGAACCATGGTAACTTATCACTCATTCATTGCTCTATCTGATCTTTATTGAGCGGTTCCCTATTACTATAAAAATCTTTTAGTATATAAAGATTGTATTCTCTAAAAATACCCACTTTTGCTAAACCATAATGATTATCCTGATCTATATACAGATAGTCCTCAGTTAACGACCATTTGTTCAGCAGCTGAGCTGTTTGAAGTTATGACGGCACTGAACAAGGAGACTTACAGCCAGTCCTTGAAGTTGTGGCCATCACAGCTTCTCCACGGTCATGTAATCACAACTCGGGCACTCAGCAACTGGCTCGCAATTATGACAGTCGCAGCATTCCACAGTCACGTGATCCCCATTTGTGACTTTCACTGCTGGCTTTCAACAAGCGAAGACAAACAGAAAGCTGGCAGGAGGTTGCAAATGGCGATTATGTGATGTCACACCTAATTGAACATGCAGGATTTGCCTAACAATCACAACTGGAACTGCTGTCATAAGTCAGCATGATCACGTGATGTCATGCTTTATGACTGTGTCGCTTAGCGACAGAGTTCTTGGTTCCAATTACCATTGTTAACTGAGGACTACCTGTATGTTATTAAAGGAGTTAAAGGAGAAGTATCCTTTATCAAAATGATTTATTTACTCTTCTAAATTTGAAGAATCATTTTAGTGAAAATATTTTCAATTTTTTTTTTATTCTAGAAAAATGTTTTGCATGAAAAAACCATTGTTTTATAAAATTATTTGGCCTACCACTGAAATAAAATATTATAAAATATTAAATACATGTTATTTTCAGTGTATTATTGGCACTGACTGAAGACAGACTGTTCACAAAAGTCACAGACTAGTTTGCTAACATATCACTGGAATTTTAATTGATTTAATGGAACAATTAGTATAATTGTATAACTGGTATAACTGGCCTGTATTTCAGCAATCTTCCTAGATGCTGAATTTTTGTTCTGCAATAAACATTACTGTTTAAAAAGGCATTTTTCTTCTTTTTCAGAGAGAAGGCCCTCAACTTGTACTTTTTATAAGTATTAACACTGGATTACACTCAATACCATTCAAATGGACAATGAGATTTCCTTTTTTCTTCTTAGTTTTGCATATTTCATAATTCCCAAAATATGCTGTGGAAGGATCCCTAATTCTTCAAAGGAATTTGGGGACAAATGGCCAAATCAGTCTGTTTTACCAAAAGCATCTGTTCTAATGGCAGATTGACATCCTTGGGCACAATCCATTGAATTAGTTATTATATTTCTTTTAAAAATATGTTGATTATTTGGGGAACACATTTTTATTATGGGACACATTTTTAAAAATCAAGATTTTTAAAATCAATTAATCTGATTGTCTAAACATTTCAGTCATGGAAATAAAACTTGAAACATTATCATCATCATCATCAATACAGGTAGTCCTCACTTAACTAAATGATGTGGTTGTTAAGCGAAATATTGTGTGACCGTGCGAGATTCACAATGTCGGTTCTGCTGTCATTAAGCAAATCACCACGGTCGTTAAGTGAAACATCATGTAACCATGACGTGAGATTTTACTGCCAGCTTCTCCACTGACTTTGCTTGTTGGAAGCCAGCTGTGAAGGTCACAAATGGTGATCATGTGATTGCGAGATGACTTTTTCAGCACTGTCGCAACTTTGAATGGTTGCTGAACAAAGCAGTCATTAACCAAGGACTACCTGTACAGGCCAGGATTAAGGAGAATGTGAGAAGGTGCCCACAGGTGCCATTGGACAAAGAAATGTTGGCACAAGGATGTATATTTTTTAATATTACTCAAATAATATTTATAAAATGCATAGAGAACTCTATTTTTCCAATTTTTGTTATATCCATATAGTATTTATACTCTAAATTGTAGACATATAATTCATAAATATTAAAAACTAATATTGTAACATATTATCATTTTTATAACTATCCAATTCCTAAGAGATTCCAGACTTTAGGAAAAAAACCCTGTTTTCTGAAATAATTCAGGATCTGATTTTTGGCAAGCCTCCAGAGATATTAATTCTACAGTCTTGTGGCCGGGATCAAAAAAGCTTCTGTATGTCTTTTTTGCTTTCCAAACCTGTGCATGGATGGTAGAGTTAAGAAATTATTGGTTGATCTCAATACTTGTAACAGAAAAAAAAAAAAAAACGTTTTTTTTTTTTTTTCTGTTACAAGAATTGAGATCAACCAATAATTTCTTAACTCTACCATCCCTTCCCCAGTTTGGAAAACAAAAAAAAAAAAAAACGTTTTTTTTTTTTTTTCTGTTACAAGAATTGAGATCAACCAATAATTTCTTAACTCTACCATCCCTTCCCCAGTTTGGAAAACAAAAAAAAAAAAAAACAATCCTCATTACATTCCCTCAAAGATGACTAAGGGAAGGACATGACAGATCTATGCAAAATCATGACTAAGAAAAAGACATGAAATAAGTGTACAATACTATAAATACTGTAAGGAAGAAAATAAACAATGAACCCCTTTTGCTGCCTGATATAATTAGGAGATATTTAGTGGCTGTGAGGTGGAGGAAAAAAGTCCTTGCCCCCAAATCCCAATCTGTGCTAAACAATATCATAACTGATGGTAGTGAAAATTTCAATAGTTTGACAGTATCTATTAAATCCAGATCAGAAACCAATTTCAAATGGATCTAAACAATGTTATTGAAGACTGCTTGGAGCTGACGAACCATTATTGATTCTGGGTCACTTTTAAAGAATGGAACATTGATGACTATGCAATAATTATCCAAAGCCACAGAATCCAAAGTATGGTGTTTTTTTTAAATAAGTGTTTTCAACATTGCCTCTTTTAAAATAATTAGGATAATTCATTGATTACTGAAATGTTTCCCAATCCACCTAATCACTCCAACCCTGGAAGATTTCATATGCCACAATGGGCAAAGATCCAAAGAGCAGGTAGCAGTTCTCAATTTTTTAAGCAGCTATTTCACAACTTAAGCTGTACGAGGTAAGACTGTAGTCATATTAGAGCCAGAGAATGCACTGGTTACAGCTCTTTCGGATTCTGTTAAAACTATTTCATCTAGATTGAAACAGATTTGACTGATTTTGCCTATAGAATGTAATGCAGATCATTTACTGTGAAGATTCAACATATTTTCTTGCTAAATCTACAGTAAAGATTTAGCAATTGAAAATAGGCTGTAGGCAGACATTGTATAAAGATTAAAAAAACAAAAAATAACTTTATTTGCAAATCTCATTGTCACTGAATAAATCCTGATGGTTCTAAATTTGTTCTTGCTCATTTTGACATTTCTACTAGTAACTAAACTTGCTGGACATGTCAGAAAAGGACTCAGGGGGCAATCAAGTAGTGATCTGTTTGTGACAACTTCTTTCATGTACTATTTGTGAGTAGATGAGGTAAGTGAAGACAGGGCAAAGGATGAATCAGTGAAAATTTTCTATCCCATCAATAGTCCAGTGAAAGCCTTTGTTGGTTTTCAATCACTTTCAACAATGTCAGGAGCCCTTCTGCTTACAGAATGGATACTCTGGATCCAACACTATATTTAATAAAGGAACTTAGAATTCAATTTTGGTGGCATGATGACAGGAAAAAACCCCTAAAAATCCTATACAGTACTCATATTTTGTAGCAACTTAGTTTTTTTACTAGGCTACCTTAAAAATGTTTATATAGCTGGACTCTACAAAAAGAACACTGTATTAACATTTAGGGAAGTTCAGCTAATAAAATACAGTTTTACCTTTGATGCTTTCTTGGATTTCAGTGATCTGACCTTTTCTCCTTGTGCAGCTACTTGTTCAAACAGTTCAAGTGGCTTAAGAGAGCAAAAGCTTCCATTTGGAATATCTGCCATTTTAAGGAGTGTGGAAAGTCTTTTGTATTTTTAGTTTAAAGTGTGTTTTATAACGTTTTATCCAGAAACTTCAAAACAGCAAGCTTGGAGAATTCTAGAAGACAAATAATAAATAAACATTAGGATTTGTCTATCTACCTATGAATTGTATAAGGGTAATTAGTTTAGTTACTGATAGGATCAGTAGCACAACTACTAGAAAATGTACTTCTTTTAAAAAAATGATAGTTATAGGCTATTGCACAATATAATCAAAGTCAGGAAGCAATTACATAGGACATTTACAAAACTTGTTTGTCATCTAGGGCAGATATTCCCTAGCCTTTTTCACCCTGCCTTGGTCTGAAGTAACCAATACTACTTCAGACATCATTTGACATTCTGGTAGCCTATCCTATCCAAAGTTAATTGGGGCAGTCTGAGTCACTTATTCTTAAGCACAAACTAGCATGATCAGTGGTCAGGGATAATGGCATCTATACTCCAACAATATTTGGAGAACCACAGATTTTCCATTTCTGATTAAATATCTTTAGAATGAAGTGGGAAACACCATTACTTTTAACAGTTTTGTTTTTGTTAACTTCTGTATCTAAGCAAAATCAAAGTGTTCTGTCTATTGATCAAATGGCATCAGCTGGTGCAAGATATTATTTCTGTCCCCTATACCTGCCTCATCTGCTCCTGAGGCATCAGCTCCAGTGAAGATGTTGAGCCACACAGGAAAAAGAAAGGAAAGGAAATCAGCTCATGTGATATGGCATTTAACCCATTGTTTTTACTGTCTCGCTGTATTTCTTGTCATACCATCTTATGATTATATTTAAACTACAATTGCAAAATAAACTAATTCACTACTTTAATCTGAGCAAATAACTCTTCTTATAATGCCATTTAGTTATTTTTGGCTTTGACACATTATATAATTGCCCTTCCTCCAACTTAGCATAACACATGGTGAAATAACATATACTGTAACTCCATCTTAATTGCTATACTACCTGAAAAGTACTCTAAGTTGAACTTTGCCTTATGGCTTCAGTACCGTAACCATATTCTTTTGTAATAAACTGCAATATTTTGTTCAATACCATTTACTTGTTCTATTGAATGTTTTGAGAACTCCGTTCCAATCATATCATGATTGTGCTAACATCTATTCCCAGAGAGTCTGGTTTCAATAGCTGAATTATTTTCTGCCAAATATTTAATAATACCTTACCTGTTCAATAAACTAATTTTATCTGTGTTTTGAAAAGAAGAAAAGCATGTTGTGTTTTGTAGTTTTTAATAATATATTAAAAACTACAAAACAAATGGGAGATTTAAATACAGTAACAATATTTTTATTGTATTTTAGAAGTTCCAAAGGACTTCTAATATTTTATGGCAGATGAGCAGAAGCAAACTGAGGCTTAACTAGAGGTGACATAAAAAGGTTTTGAACCTGGGATTTTGTGGTCTGCGGCTCAATAAACATAATCACGGCTTCCACAATAGTATTTTCTTCAGTGAATATATAAGGCTGAAAATGCATGCCTTTAAATGCCTGTATTCACAATTCTGGTACCTAACCAGGCTCAAGATGATGCCATCCATTGAATACATATGTTCAGAGCTTTGCCAGCAAAATTGTTTCTCAGCTTGGTAATCCCTCTTAGTAAATAAAATAGGGTTAGGAGGCAATAGTTTTCTGCCAAACGATGAAGATGTGGACCTAACTTAAAACAGCCATTGTTCTATCAAGCCAATATTGTTATTTGGAGTTGAGGACCAGTTCTCCAAAGGTCTGACCACCAGGGCATACACAGTATGCACATGGCCCCAATTATGATTTCAAAGCATCAGCTCACAGGTAATGAGAAAGGCCACTAGCAGAGCCTTTAGAGAGTTCCATCCTGTCAGTCTGATTCAACAACCCTGGGCTGAAAATAATCTGCTCTAAGAAGGGCAGCTTCCCATATTCCCTGAATCTTTATGCTGCTTTCTGCACCTAGACTGCACCAGCATCTACCAGTGTAAAAACACAGCAAACGAACACATTTTTTAAAAAGGAGAAGGAGATACTAAATCATACCCTGATATGAAAATTACATTTGTCAAGATCTCTTTAGACAAGGGTTCTGTTTCAGTTTCAGGCTGTCATCTGCAATATGGGTGGGACAGTCGTCTTGACATACTTTACAGAGCCAGTGTATCCATTTCAACCAGATAAGCTTGTAAAGTGGTTTAAATAAAGAAACGCACGAATCAAATATTAATTATCAACCTCCTGGTCAGGGTGGCCTAGTATTCGCTCAAGGGCTAATTCTCACACGTGCAAAAGATACATACAACATTTATCACGGAGACCAGAAAACCAGGCGGAAGAAGCAGAGTTTCCTCCCCAATCCTAGAATCAGCTTCTCCTCCTCTCCCACAGAAATCTTTTCCCTCCTCCAAGGATCTCCTTTTCTTTTACTCTGGTCCACAGGCGACCTCTTAAGAGAAAAAAGATGGCTCTAAGGGGCCTGCTCATTCTGCCTCCTTTTACCTCTCTACCCATCTTACCTGTCCGCGGAACCGCCGCTTTTCTCAGCAGCCCTCCGGCAGGATCAACCCCATTGCATCAGCTAGAGAACAGCTCGTGCAACACTGATCGTCTTCCGATCAAGAAAGGCGTTCCTAGCCCGGAACTGAGGACAACGAGGAGGAGAGAGACAGAGAGGCTTCCCTTGCGGGCGGAAGGCGGGAAGGTCTGTTAGGAGAGACAAGACTTTCGTAAAAAAGAAAAGAAAACACAAGCCAGGAAGAAAGACGGATGACGCTCGTGAGAGTAAAATAGGAACGCTTGAGACCAAGTCGAGTTTCCTAGGGGAGATTTTTCTGAGGGAAGGATGTGGCCACGCTGCGAGCTGATTTAAACTGATGTCAGAGGAGGCTGCTTTCAGGTAGTGTTGCTGTAAAGTGGATCCCCCTTTAGGTCAATGGCTTGAGTCACTAAGCTTTTTCTTCCTTATTCGCTCATCCCCGGCCCAGTCAGGATCTGTTTTAATGGCGTCGGTTGCAGTTGGTATCAATCAAGATCCAGAACGGCCTTTGCCTGTTCTAAGAGGGGAAATAAATGTACTGAAGCACGTTTTCTGAATGTCTTTGTTTTCCAAACAGGCTGGCCAGGTACAAAGAGGACAGAGTTTCAGACTCATTACCAATGGTATAATTCTCCTGTGACACTCCACCTGCTAAACTGCCCTGTGATAACGATGCAGGAGCTCACTTATCCTTGCCTTTCCCTACATCTACTTCCTTCAACCATGCCAAGTGTAGTTACTTTTTCTAGTCCATCATCTACTTGTATGACGTGACCTAAGTAGTTCTTGCTTGCTGATGATGCTCTTTACTTCTCTAGCACATTAATCTTTTTAATGCTTAATCAATTTTTGGACTCAAGAAAACAGAACTACCACTTTTGCCATCAGCTGTAAGTTCAGCTAAGCATGCTGGTTAACATGATTGTCTTTTTAGTATTTAACAACCTAGAATTTTCACTTTCCATGTTTACTTTCATAGTGAGTACTTCTTAATCCAAGGCTTTTTACTTCAGGAGAACAGGTAGTATCATCTCATATCTCAAAATGTTAATGTTTCAGTATTCTTTTAAGCTAACTGGCTAGTGTAAAATTTATGTTTATATACCCTGTCAGACATAGTCCTGAGTTCACACTGCTATATCTATTGACATATCAGTTCATTTAATTGAACATAGGCTGAACTTGCTTTTTATAAAATCAGAAGTGTTGGTTCCATGACAGTTTTTCTATTCAGCAAATGAGTAGAATTATCTTGGAGTTGGAAAAAGGCAATGTGTGGGTCAGATTAGTATGTTTAGCCTGTCATTTTATTGATTATACAGTATCTCCAAGATCACCTTATTCAGCTGAAATCAACCAGCCTAGTATGATCAGACAGGGAGAGGCTTTTGATTATTCTGCAGTTTTGCAAAATCAGATGGTGAAATGAAGAGGAGGTGCTGTTTCATATTAGCACTAACTTTATAGGACAGTCTTCCTCTAAATGTTAGGTTGTTCTCCTTCTGGAGAGCTGTGAAGACAGAATTGTTCTGGAGAGCCTTTGATGATTGATGTTAATTCTGAATGGAGATGTATACATTTTTCATATGGGTTTTTAGTCAGGTTATTTCTGAATTATTATATGTTTTTATATTACCATGGATGTTTTAATGTTTAATGTCAGAAGTATTATAGCAGCTGTATTAATGTTTACTGTGGATGTTATGCTTAAACTTGTTTTATCACAGATGTTTTATATGTGTTGCTGCTATTGGTGTTTTATATTTGATTTGGACTGTTGCTGTGAGTCCATGCATATTTGGCAGCATATAACTTGAATAAATAAAAAATACGCTAATTAAAAATTTAAAAATACAAGTACTAAACCCTGGAAATGAATTATGTAGGCTTTTGTAAGTAAGAAAGATCCTGAACAATTATTTCATTGTTCCTTTCATTATAGAAAATACTCTTTGTTCATGAGAATCCAAAGACATATATTTCAAGTTTTTTTTTTCCCCCATAGCTGACATAATGAATTTTTCACTTGTTGCTTATGATGATTCGGATTCTGAAGCAGAGACTGGAAGATCTGGAGATGCTATTAGCAGTGAAATTAATCTAACAGATTGTACTGTGAGTTTTGTTCAGCCCAGTGGTGACTTAAATACTATTTCTGAGGCAAAAATCCAATCTGTGGAATATACGGGCAGCTCCAGAAAGAACATGTGTTATGAGGATACCTTTCAACAGTATCTACAACCTAATGAAAAGTCAGCAGTAGCAGCTCATCCCCAGAAATTGTACCCTGCTACTTTGAAAAAAGCGAGCAGTAAGTATACCCAGCCATTAAACCCTTTATTGGAACCTAAAATACCTTCTGGAAATGCAAATGCTCAGAAGAGGATGTGTGATGATGGAAATGAAACTATTCAAAAACTGAGACCATATATTTCAAAAAAACTGCGACAGGAAAAACATGAATATCACAAAGAAAGCATACATTCTCCAATTAAATTTAGTACAGCTGAAGATAAAATGTCAATCACAGTTTCCCAATATATTATGCCATACATAGGATCAAAATATACAGTTACTGAAATTCCAAAGAAACTGGTGTTTCACATGGCTGAGCATAGTGGTCCAGTTAATGCAGTTCGCTGGTGTCCTCTGCAGAGGTGGAGCCATATGTTGCTTTCTGCATCTATGGATAAAACTGTCAAGGTAACTTATTGCAGTATAAATGCCTTTAATTTAACTGTTACTTGTATGATGATTGAAGGCCCCTAAGCCTTTTTCCAAGCTGTTTTAAACAAAACATAATAATCTGTCCACTGTCCATAACAGTCTACATTTACTTAAGTTTAAATTGTCTGTTGATGAATATTGTCTGTAAATTTTGTGGGAGTGAAGAATGGTGATACCAGTTTCAGCAAGTTCTTGCCGATGGGGTAATGGAAGAAGCAAAGACTCCATAGCAGTTGCAAGAGACCAAGGCCAGTCAGACGTAGCCTCGCGTGGACAGTGGGCACTATCCCTCTTGCTTCCAAAGCTGTGTTTGTTTTTTGAGGGGCTGGGGGTGGAGGGCATAGAGTCATGATACAGGTGCATATTTTTTAATCCTTCTCCAAATACAGGAAAAGCACTAGTTCTTGCAGTTTTCTGTATTATTACACAAAGGAAATCCCACAGTTTCAAATTAGATAAACTTCCATTTTTGTGCGTAGGATCGTTACATCTTTTAGGCATCTGCTTAGACCTGTCTATTCTGCTTGGTCTTTCCCTATATGAATATTGGATGGATGGTTTGTTTTCTTTTCATTTCTCACTTTTAAAATGAAGATTATTTGTTTTAATGTACGGGGGGGGGAGGGTTTGGTCATATTTTAATTCAGGTTTACTACAGTCAGCTGCAGGATGTAATTGTATGGGAATTGGGAACTATAGTAAACAAATAATAATTACATTCCATAGTATTTTGGACACATTTTGCAAAGACCCAGCTCCCTAGCAAATGCTGGGAAAGATAATAAAGAACGAAAAGAGCAGCAGCAAGGTGGAGGGACTTAATTAATGTGGCAATAGGTGAACTGTTGGAAGACTTGAAGGATCATCCTGGAGAAAGTCAGTCTGTGTGTTGCTAAAGAGTTGACACAGACCTGATGAAACAAAATAACAATCAGCTCATTTATCCAGGATTGCTGGGTTCTAATGGCTCTGAGAGCTAGAAAGCGAAAGAGCCTCTGGGTACCCAGCTTCCCTCCCAGGTATGACTGGTAAGGATAGCAGATACTCCTTGGTCTTGGGAATTGAGGGGCTTGGATATAGGGATGGGGCTGCTGTTGAGGGGATGGGGGCAAACCAAAATATTATGGTGGTGATGGGCATGGGGAGATATGGTGGGAGATGGGCAGCAGGCCATTCCTGGGGACTACGGGACCATTGTTTGTTACTGTTCTTGCGTTCTAGCTCCTCAGACTCAGCCCTGATACCCTGTCAGCAGACCTTCAGAAGCTCTGGTCTCTGGCTGCTGCTTCTAAATGCCAAGTCAGTCTGTAATAAGGCCTCCCTCATCAGTGATTTAATCACTGATAAGAGGGATGACCTGGCATGCATCACAGACCTGTCTGGATTTGGAGGGGGGAGTAGCCCTCACAGAGCGATGCCCAGCCGGGTTTCGAGTGTGGCATCAGCCACGAGTCTGGGGCAGGGGTGGAGGTGTGGCGATTGTCATCTGGGAATCTCTTACAGCTTCAGGGGTGCTGCACCACAGATCACCAGATGTGAGACCCTGTTCATTAAGTTGGGCTCTAGGGATCAGTTGGGACTGCTACTGTTGTACCAGCCTCCCTGCTGCACAGCAACTTTCCTGCCTGAGCACCTTGACGCCATTTCTGGGTTGGCAGTGGAATTCCCCAGGTTTATGGTCTTGGAGGACTTCAATCTGCCTTCTCTAGGGGTGGGGTCTTAGAGGGCTTGGGAGTTCATGGCCACCATGATGGCCATGGGCCTATCCCAATCATCCACAGCCTGACGTGGAACAGTGGTCATACGCTGGATCTGGTGTTCCTGTTGGAGCAGTGGCTATGTGATCTGAAATTGGGGGAGCTTTTGGTGTCCCTCTTGTCATGGTGAGATCACGACCTGATTACAGTGGGATTCCCTAGTGCCACTCTCCACTGCAGGGAGGCTGGACCCATTAGATCTGTCTGCCCCCGGCGACTAATGGACCTGGATGGGTTCCAGAGGGAGCTGGGGGTTGTTCCTGCTAGTCTGCTGCATGGCCCATCTGAAGCCTTGGTCGCTGCTTGCAATAAAGGGGCAGCTGAGGCTTTGGATCGGATTGTGCCCATGTGACCTCTCCCCTCTTAGGGATCCTGGCACTCTCTATGGTTTACAGAAGAGCTAAGGGAGAGGAAGCAAGGGAAGAGATGTCTAGAGCATCGCTGGTGCTCGACATGGGAAGAACTCGACTGAACATGGGTTAGAGCTGCTTTAATGCCTACGTAGCATTGATAAGGGTGGCGAAGCGTAATTAGTCCTAGCGATGGTTAATGTACAGTATCTTTGAGTGAGGGGGTTGTTCCCTCACCTCTTAAGGAAGCCTTGGTTCACCCCCTCCTCAAGAGGCCATCGCTAGACCCCACTATACTGGACAATTTTTGTCCAGTATCTAACCTCCCCTT